GATTTCGGAGCGCACGGTTATGGTGTTGACTTATATTTATTTTGTTAGATTCGTGCGCGTGGATCGCGCGTTTCGACGCGGCCCTGGCGGTGCCGTATCAATTCAGTAGATCCGCTGATCAATAGATTATATAATTGCGTCCGATGTTATCGTCAACATTTCGGCGCACGACGGCGCGTCTGCGGCAGTCGCGGCGCTCGTCTGCCGAGTTTAACCTATTTCTGCCGAATATAGTTCTGACATAGCGCAGGACACTCGTCACCGGCAACGATTTTGGCGTGGGCGCATTTTGGGAATTTTAGCTCCGCCGTGCTGGCACGGAAGCCTCGGTGTTTACGAAGCTCGGGGGTTAGCGGCTGTGCGTAGCAGCAGCAGCAGCAGCACCAGCAGCCGCCGCAGCCGCAGCCGCAGCCGCAGCCGCACTGGGAGGCAGCGATGCGAGACCGCCAGTGCGCATGTGTGTTTCTCATCAGGCAGTGTGCTGTAAGTCGCCGCCATATTAATTACAACAGCGGTAGCATGCGCGTGATTCATACATACACAGTGGTCGTTTGAAGTTACCCCGTGTGAACACATGCACTCACTCACACGCTCACGCAGGCACGTACACACGCACGCACGCAGACACGCACGCAGGCACGCGTCTTTAGTGCATGTATCACACGCGCAACTGTTAGCTTTCTTTGTGGATCGTTGCCGAAATGGTCCTTCACTATAATTCTTCACTATACGTAATGCTGGGGACGCGATCATCAATAATAAGTCTGATTTTGTTTCTCTGATAGCCTGATTTAGTTTCCATAGCCTGGTTTGTGATAAAGCTGGGGATGTGATGGTCATCTGGGATACCATCGTGAAACAGATATTTACGCGCAATCTAGCTTGCTAGGGATTTTACGGTGTCTTGCGACTAGCGTTGTAGGCTGTCGTGATATATCGGCTTCGATCTGAAAGCTTGGAATCGGATGTCGATTCGACGATCCCTAGTTCAGTATACAGACTCCGTTTTCGTTGACATACAAACATCGAAAGCCTAGATGAAGGTCTGCACAATATTCAGAATTACACGGGAAACAGAATTAATCAGATTTTAGTTATGGCGACTACATCCGAGTGCAGTAAACCCTTAGCTCCAGTTTTATACGGGTGATACGGGAAAGCTATACTTACTAACTATTTATACTCGGAATGAACGTTCTCCCAACCCAACGTACGCAGCTAGCTAATAGCGGGATTAAACAAATACATGAGTGAAAAATATAGACGCTAGCTTTTTGTTTTAATAATTTATATATACAATGGCTACTTTTCTTTGGTTTTTGTTGCTGATGACTGTATCGCAGATGTAAAATGTCAACGGCCGCTGCTTACGCAAATCGAACTTTATAAACTATCGAAATGTATGTTATCGCCTCTGGATTTGACTCGCGAAAATTTCCAGAGGCGCATAGTTATCGAGGAAGTGTACGTCGGAACGTCGGCGTTCGACGGAAGTGTAGAACGCGGAAGTGTACGTCGAAACGTCGGAGTTCGAAGAAAGTGTAGAAGTGTACGTCGTTCGGCTCACGGTTTCCTTGGCATCATGGCGGTTTCCCTCTCGGCTTCCTCTCGATTCGCTCAGACACTCCCTCACACGTCTACACGTACAAGCGCGCCGCTTGCATATACCCCTTCCGCCGTTTATGACTCATTCCAGCCTATTTGCTGGAATGTTTTTGGACTGTCGTAACCCTGCATGGTTCTGGGAAATCTAGTAAATTTTACCCCGCGTGTGTTTGTGCGTACGTGTGTTCGTGAGTGCGTGCCAGGGTGCGTGCGTGTATTCGCGTGTGCGTACGTGCGAGCGTGCGTGTGTGCGTGCGTACGTGTGGACGTGTGTGTGGTGTCTTTGAGCCTGTGCGTGTCGCTGTGTGTTGAGTGTGTGCATGATCGTATGATCAAGAGCTAATAATACCTATTATTGTTAGTTCTTGATCGTGTGCATGTACGCGGAATTCGACGTGCATTGGTTGTATTTGTAAAATGGTCGGGTTTTCACGAGCACGTTCTAGCCATGTGAGGAGAAGAGAACTACTACTTATCGCTGCGGCTAACGCTAAAATGAAAACGCCATTTCAGAGAGACCACTAGCGATAACCAACGAAGTTTGTTAGAATAGCAACGACAGCACATCAAAATCATCTCTATCGACTTTGGGGGAATTTATTTTACAGATGCTCCCGAGAGCCCAGGCGCCATTGAGAGCCATATTTCTCCTCTTGCTAATGTCATATAAGCCCTAACACTGCGATGAAGGACATATGAGATGATGCCTCATTTACGGCATGTCAGATATGCATCAACGTGAAGGGATTCGCTGCCGCCCGAACTTGAGTTGTATATCGAACGTTAAGCGAACAACACGTGTACTCGTAATTCCCTCGGAAATGGCGTCTTTCGTGCGGCGCGGTTACGCAATTATTTTTAGCGTTGTATTACATGCATGCAGCTGCTGCCGCGTGTATATATGCGTTTATAATTAAAGGCGTCGTGTGTTGTTGCCTGATGGGGTTGTTCACGCAGAGATCCATATACTACTTAGTCTCTATAATTATCTACGAATTTAGACCACCGTTGACCGCAGCCGAAGTGGAAAGCCCTCCCGGGTTAACTAGAGCGATAGACGGGCACCGTTATAGTGGCGTGTCCATCCTCGCAACTCACTTCCTATCTCGAAAGCAACTGGTTTGTTCGTCTATGAATTAGGGCTGATGGCACTCTGTTGTAAACAGCCGAACTGATACACAACTGTCTCTCTCTCCAATAATAGCCGCTACGCGCGCTCATCGGAAACTAGTTTCCCGCTCCCATTTCACGCCGAGTCAATATATAGGCAATGCTGGACAGAGATCCCTCTGCAGATAAATAGCGAGTTTACTCAGACGCGAGGTGGGTGTCGTTCTTGCTCCTTGCGAGCGGTTTTTGTTCGCCGATAAGTGAAACCGACGATATATTTCCCGCTGAAGTGCGCACAGCCGAGTCGCGATGAAATTGCCGAGCATTGTAAGTGCATTCGTTTGTTCGCTGTAGTTTCTCAATCCGCCAGCGAAACAATTTCGCATCTTGAGCCATCAGGGTATATATTGTTATGTCCGTATATATCAGGGTTATGTCCCCGCTGCCGCCTAGCATTAAAGTTACTCGCCTTCAGAAAGTGATTAAATCAGCCTAGCTCGCGCTATACTATTTTCAATGGCGTTTCGGGATTTCATCTTTTCGTTTGCCACTTATATAGCTACTGCTAGCGGAACTTTCGGTGAACGAATGGCGCGCGTGTGCCTGCATACGTGCGTGCGCGCGTGTGCCTGCATACGTACGTGCGCGCGTGTGCCTGCATACGTGCGTGCGCGCGTGTGCCTGCATACGTACCGTGGAGCGCGTGTGCCTGCATACGTGCGTGCTGCGCGTGTTGCCTGCATACCGTGCGTGCGCGCGTGTGCCTGTTATACGCACGTGGCGCGTGCTGCCTGCATACCGTGCGCGGCGCGCGTGGGCCTGCCATACGTGCGTGCGCGGTGTGCCTGCATACGACGTGCGCGTCGTTGCTGCAACGAATGCGACCACAGTGCACGACAAGCGGTGTGTGTGCATGACGTGCCTGCGCGCGCGTGTGTGCATAGCGTGCCTGCGCGCACATCGTGTGCAGTGCGTGCTGTGTGCGTGCGTGGCGGCGTCTTACGTGCGCATGCGTGCGTGTACACGCACACAGCGGCTTGCCAGATCATGACCGCGCGTTCGCAACATCATGGCATTTTCTGAACTGCGGAACTTCCAGAACTGCGATGCTCAAGGAATTTAGGTTTTAGTGTTCAACATTCAGCTCAGCTGCTGATGAGCTGGGTCAAGATCATGCACATGCTCCCCGTCCCCGACTCCAGGCCTTAATTAATATGAAGCAGGGAAATATAAATCAACAGGAAAAGATAATAACAATACATTTACTTAGTTATAACCGCAATATCTTTTTCCTTCTCTGTTAGTGGCGCGCGCGCTCATGGGTGTGCGTCGCTCGTGGCCGTGCGCGTCGTGCGTGCGCGTTGTGCGTGTGCGTGCCGCGTCGCAGCGGCACGTTTGCGTGCGCGGTCGCCGCGCATAGTGCGTACGCGTACGTGCGCGTACGTTGTGCGTGTGTGCGCGCTGCGTGTTGAGCTTAAGTGCGGCAATCACTTATATATTATCACTGTGTGCCATCGATGAATTCGTGATATTTACGTGATATTGAGGTGCCGTGACGAATGTATATTACAAACAGCCAAACATAAGCAGCATCTGCGATGTCTACTCTTCACCCTATATAGCATGCGAAAACCAATTCGTGACATAAAAGAACCGGGAATAATGTGATCCATCATCGCAGTGTCATGGATGCGAGCGATTGGCAATGTCATTATCCACGTCTAATGCCGTGGAGAGTTTAAACACGTATTTTACTTTTCCGAGTCGATACTCTTTTTTACGAGAATGAAGAGCATACATATATGTTGGAACACGATCTTATATACTACTAATACGCGCCAACGCTCTGTTCAGCGTTATTTTCTTTCGAACATTCGTCCAGTATGGTACGCGATGGCTGCTACTAGGTGTAGATCGGTCATACGGCCCCCCTACGGTTCTAACCGCACGTGACTACCGCCACGCGTGGGCCGTATATTCGCGTATCACCTTATAACCTCTTTCTGCCGTGCGTATATAGATTAAACCGCTGCGGCTGAGGGAAGTTTCACGGCTTCGCGAACGGTTTAAATTATGTAGAAGTGCTCCCTTTATCGCCAGGCTGTGCGTGGCCTCCGCCTCTCTCTCTCTCTCTCTCTCTCTCCTCTCCTCTTCTCTCTCTCTCTCTCTCTCTCTCTCTCCCTTTCTCTTCGCACTCTCCCCCCCCACACACACACTCAACTATATATCCACGCGCCGATCGCATTGTGTAACGCCATCGTGTCTCGGTTCTTCTCTCTCTGCAGCTAGAATTGTTCTCTCAGAAGCACTTTGAGGAGGTGGGCGAAGCAGAGATGGAGCGAAAGCCAACGCAAGGCTCCATCAAGGAGAAATGGAAGAAGGCGTTTTCGAGTCTGAAGGGGCACAAGCAACGCATGAGTACGGATAGCAGCAGTAGCGGCGGTGACAGCCAGCAAAACCTCGGTGAGTGCTTTCCTCGCGACATAGCTCACCATCTATAGTCGGTTATGGAGCACGAAACCGCGGTTACACCCGAGGGTAGTTCAGTCATGGAAACATATGAGGGGTTACATTATACCAATAGCTCATAATATATGTATGTACATGTATTATTAGCTCTTGATGCATAGCACAAAACTCTATCTTTTGCTTGGATTGCAACTCAACTTTGATCTTCGTGAGATGAAGTATTAACAAGGGCTAGTAATACCATATTAGCTCTAGCTATATATCATATTAGCACTTGATATTAACTGTAGCATAAAACTATATCTTTTGCCTTGATTGCCACTCAACGTTGATTTTTGTGAGGCGATGTGGGCGTTATCGAAATCTCTCTGGATTGATATCTCATGTGTACATGTCTTCATCGATTGTCCGGGTACTGCTCTCTGAGCTGGGAGTCGAGTAGGGACAAATCGTGTTCGTTCGTCGTCGTTAGTGTATGGTGACACGTGTGTAGTGTTAGGCGGTGAAATGCCAAGACGGACTGCCACATAAGAAATTTATACGGTTATAGGCGACTCAGCCTTGAAAGTACTCTACGCAGAAGTTTCTCGTAATGTTACAGTATACGAAACAAAGCATTGACAAAACTAGTCTATATAAGTATGTAGGGAGAGAGGCGGATTTAAACCTTTGCCACGCACACGCATCGCTCACACGGTTGCGTGTAAGATTCGAATCCCACGCAATAATCTGTGCGAGTGTGCGTGCGTGCGTGCGTGCGTGCGTGCGTGCGAGCGTGCGTGCGTGCGTGCGTGCGTGCGTGCGTGCGTGCGTG